GAAAAAAGTGTCAGTATTAGAGGGGCACTCAATCGCCACATCGTCCGGGTACTTACCGTTAGGGACCGGTCACGCTGACCCTGGACATTTTCACGACGGATCTAAACATAGACAATCGGATTCTGCGCTTCATTTTCACTCCCAGTCTGACCTTTGTTCTGTCCCCCCCCCCCCGTACCCCGGATTTGTGCAAAACAGAGCCGTTACAGACTTGATGGCCCGACACCAACATGCGAATGTTTAGTCATATTTTGCACCACTGAATAAGACTGATCCGGTTGTATGAAAGTATTTCACACTATTGTCGTTGTTCGTTCATCCCCCGGATACCGTTCTATGTTAGTGTTGTCGATTCATCACGGGGTCCCGAAATTTGATTGTTTCTACTCGACGAGGAGAGTTTTGGGATCATTTGTGATGCATGAGTTGTATTCCTTTTTTATCATAGACTCTTCAGTTAATTTGAAAAACTCAGTAATGTTACTTGGTTGGACCAGTGTTTGACAAATTGACGAGACTTCGAGGATGAGATTGTTCTCACTGTTCTTCTCCCCGATCGAACTCATGTGTGTGTGTGTGTGTGTGTTCATGCTTTTGTCGACATCTGTCACCCCCTCTCTGTGTTTCACACACACAGTGCATCAACAAATACAATCGATCCGGAAATGAGGGTGATAATTTTTGTGATGCCACTCTTCTCGCTCTGTTCACTTGATTGAGGCATCTATGGTACTTACCACTTACCACGATTCGAACGGCCGAACTGAATAGACAAACTTTTCAAATTGATGTGTGTGTGTGTGTATGCGCGTGCATAGCTTGACTTTTTATACACCGTATATATGTGTGTTTTTCGATTAGAGTGATTCACTTTCTGTGCCTCGATCGCACCCCACCTCCCTCGACAATCGTCGTCATAGCACGTACCCAGTGTCCACACGATTGTGGTAAGCAATCGATTAGAATCACGTCACATTTTGTGTGTGTGTGTGTGTGTGTGTACGTGTTCGGGTTTTACGATTATTTGATGACAGAGACCAGGAAACAGTCAACTAATTAAGTTATTCATATATGAAATACCGTAACTACTGTTGTCAAAGCTATCTAATAAATTGGTAGATTTGTGTACCATGTAGACAACAAACCTAGCGCGGTCAAACTAAGACCTGGCCAGATGGCATGAAAACCCTCACCAGGCGACTCAGCCACATAGGTCCCGTTCGGCTGCCTTCCTGACTGGGGACCTCAGGTTGATCGTAACCGGTGTTTAGAGACACTGGGTGGTGTAGTTGAGTGTCGTAAACAATGGCGTTCGTGCATCTGCTCAATCTCTTTACAACCTTGGTTCACTGAAATT